GGCAAGATATGACAAAATAATAATTTATAAATTATCAAGGGCTCATGAGGGAGTGGGGAGCAGGGAGGGAGGGGAAAAATGAGGACCTAATGCAGGGGGTTTAAGTGGAGAGGAAATGTTTTGAGAATGATGAGGGCAATGAATGTACAAATGTGCTTTATACATTTGTTGATGTGTGTATGGATTGTGATAAGAGCTGTATGAGCCCCTAATAAAATGATTTTTAAAAAACCAAATATATAGATAAATAAAAAGAAAAGAGTAATTGTATATTTAAACAGCCCAGTCCAGATCAAATCCATAAGTCGGATATTAGCCCATATATCCGATACTAGTTTGTAAATTCCTCTTCAGACTCATGCAACACATGCAATGAGTACAGGAAGATCACAAGTCAGTGGGTGGAAAGTTTTGTGGATCCAGTGGCGGTGGAAGCATCTAAGTGCTGGCCTGGGTCTCCACGTGGCTCCTCCAGCTCCAAGGCTCTGGCTGCCATCAGCATAGCTCCATGTGGCTTGTCAACAGGAATGTTTCACAGAGAAATTCTCCCTCCTCCAGGGAGGAATATAGGAGTTCCCAGAATCCTCAGGAGAAGGCCATGCCCACACCGAGGCCTCATTGGCGATGGCCTGATTGACAGGCTGGACTCCACCCCTTTTGCAAGTCGACAGGAAATTATGTAATTGCCACAGAGTTAAACATTTCAGACACTTATTAGCTTATGAAAGGTCGGGGGATGTTAGGGTCAGGGTGTGGGCATCAGAGACCACAATTTGGAGTCGGGGTCAGAGCTGAGAGAGGCATGATTAGAGGGCACTGCACTAGGAAAGCTTCCCCAGAGAGAGGACGGAGAGGCAAAAGGACCCGCCTTAGTTTTTCAGCGCTGTGGGAGGTCAGATGAGGAGTGTTTAGCAAAGAGATCAGGAGATGGTAACCACAGGTACAAAAAGAGAGAAATTCCAGGATGATCCTATGGCTGAGGCTACAAGAGGATGGTGATTTATTTGTCTGCAGTGGGCAGAAACCAGACTCACCCCCAGGGGGTACTCTTCCACATGTTGCCACCCTTCCCCTCCCAGCACGGGGGGCTAGGATGGTCCAACATGGGCTCTGGTCGCCTCTCTGGGAGGACAAGATCCACATGACGCAGCTGCCCAGCCTCCAGAGAGACTGCCCAGCAATCTGTTCACCATGTGCAGAGGGTAGGTCAAGCCGAGGGCTGCACCAAGATGAGCTTCTTGCCACCTCTTCACCTCAGCCTGGTCATGCCAATGCCACCAGAATGCTGGGATGAGTGTGTTCGCAGGCAAGGAGGGTTGTGTGGAGAGGATAGCAAGTCAGCATCTTGTGCCTGGGCAGTTCCTAGGAATTGCTGTACACCACAGGCCTCACAGCCAGAGCCACAGTCTCCTATCTTCATTGTTTGTAAAGGTACTTGAAATCTGCTCTCCCCAAAAGTCCCTGGTATGGATTACCTATAAACATTTGAGAGCAACGGTTACTAATCCGTAGTGCATATTCAAGGTGTCTCTGATGTGCTTGTTGCTGTATCACTTAGGTCTAATACAGAAAAGAGAGAGCCCGCTTGTCTGAAGCTGGCCTGTTCGGGAAGAAGTTGTGCACATCTGGTGCCTACAAAAGGCTTAGGTTTTGAGACCCAACAGCATTGTTAGCACCGGAACTTTCTCCCGCATTGGCCTTGCAACCAGCGAAGTCTTGCTGCAGTATTTCTGCTACAGGGAACATTGCCCAGTGGGTAGGATAATCCCAGACCTGCACAGCAGTTAGTTTTCACTCCTTCCTCATAGTGAGCAGGGAGAGGTCTTGCCAGCCTCCCAGAGCCCTGTCAGGGACGTTTGTGCTGGGCATGGCCACCATGCTGATATGCACAGAGGAGGGCGGCACTGTGCTGGCCAGTGGGGGTCCCAGCAGTCAGGCCCCTGTTGTGCTTTGGTGGTCCACTGGCTGGTGTTGTCAGCCCTGCTGGTCGGAGCGGGTGACGATTTAGCTCTTCCCACTGTGTGGCCATCTGCAGCTGTCTAGCCTCCAAGGGCCAGGAGGAGAACCAGCTGTGTGCCAAGGCCAGAGGACAGGCGGGAAGGCTGCTGAGCCAGGGTGCCTCCCCTGTGCTCACTGGCCCTGCACTGGGTATCTGGCTGCCCTAAGCCCCCTTAGGGAAGATTCTTAGTATCATGCACTTAACTTCTCCCACTTTCTCAGGGCAGCTCTGCCCAAGGATCTTCCTCTCTGGGACATCCCTCAGGAAACTTGGGTCACACACCCCAGTGGATGCTGGACAGGAGCCGAGAGCTTAGACACAGCCGGCGCTTTGCTATGGCAGGAAGGTGAAGGTGAGCGTCAGGGTCTGTGTTGGGAGGAGAAGCCAGTGCCCTGGCTGGCCATGGCTTAATCATAGGAGCGCAGGTCTTCCTGGCTTCTTATCAGCCCCTGCAGGCCTCCTAAGCTAGTCTGTTCTTCCCTGGGCTCCTAGGAAAGTCAGGTAGAGGAAGCAGAAATGACCTGTGCCTGCCAGTTGGAGTTCTGTTTTGGAAAGGGAGTGTGCACTGCCTTGTGGTCATGTTTAATTTTTTTCTTTTTTTGTGTGTTCTGTTTGTAGAAAGTCCATGAGATGCTGAAGAAGGGATGGGATGCTGAAGGCTCCCCCTTCCGAGGCCAGAGATTCGACCCTGCCATGTTCAACATCTCCCCTGGGGCAGTGCAGTTTTAGTGACCAGAGAACCGGAGGCCCTCCAGCACGTGGAAAGCGGAAGCCGCACGGCCGCGCCTCGGCACCTCAGCTTCCCTCATGGCCCCTTGCATGTTAGGGACCTTCATCTTCTCTCCTCCTCCACCCAGGCTCCTCTTTTCTTTGAAGGCAAAACTAGGCCCTCCCTGAACCTTGCCCTTCCTCATGTGGCTCCAAAGAGGCTCCGGAGGGCAGCCTGCCTCCCGCAGCCTTCGCCATGCTGCTGAGGGCTTCTGGGTGCGGGCAGCCCAATTCCAGGCAGGGCCTGCCCAGTCCGCACTGCACTGCCCTCTCTCTCCCCCAGTTTTTGCTGCTGTTGTTTGGGCGCTCTGTGGCTTGCTTCTCTTGGCGGGGTAGGATCCATTGCCAGGTGTCCATGCAGACTTACTGTCGGCACCAGTTGAACGGGGAAGCCTGTAAGAGTGCACACGGGTGACTATGGCAGCGGGCCTGGGAGTGCCCTGACTCTTGACCTTGGGTGGGCATGCTTCTGTGTGGTCTGCGTCTCCTTTGGCCATGCTCACTGCCCTGGCTCCGTGCCGTCGAGGCACAGCCACACTGGGGTTCTGGCATCTGCGTCTGTGGCCGGCTCTCTTCTCCAGTTCTAGATGTCAGGGGGAAGTCTGGGGTCTCTGCACAAGATGGTGTCTCTCTTGTCAGTGTCCCGTCCTCCCACCCCACAAGCCCCACGTGAGACCGCATCGCCCATGCACGTTGTCCAAGGACACTCACCTTTGCCCCTCAGACCATATCTTTGGGCACTTGGATGTGACTCATGCTAGCCCCTGATTTGGGCCCATCACACGCTCTGCATAAGTCAAGGCTCCTGGGAAGCCCAGCGCCAATGAAGGAGGCAAGCTGGCGGTCCATGGAAGGGCCGCAGCATTTGCCCCAGAAGCCCAGCCACCCACCCCTTGCAGCACCAGATAGGCCATGGACTGCTGGAAGAAGAATGCCCGGCTTGTTTGCGGTGGAGCCCTGGGGATTGAGAACCCCATTCCCTTTTGCCAGCTCACGCCTCTGTGCCATCGACATCTCCAGGCAAAGCGGCGCTCTCCCACTTCCCCTTGCCGTGTGACCCTCCCTTGGACTGACTCGGCGGCTCTAGCTAAGCCTGAAGAGAGGAGACTTCGGCTACGGGGTGACTGGAGCAGGTGGCAGGGCCCTTCGGGAGGGCTCCTCAGCACCTCTGAGAACACTGATCGAGAGTCTGCCTGCCCCCCTGAGCGCCTGCCACTTGTCCTATTAGCGGTTGGGCTCTGTGTTCACACCTAGGGCAGCTGCACGCCAGGGACAGAGGCACAGAGAAAGTGAGACCTCCACGAGGCCTGGCGGCTGTTCCTGGGGCAAGGGCTGCAGCAGCCTCGGGCCACTTTGTGCATCATGGACGGGCCCTCCAGCAGCTGGGAGTCGTGGCTTCTGCTGCTGGGCGCTCGTCTGGGTGCAGTCATTTCTGACAGATTCTGGCTGAGTGGGTCACGGGCAGCCAAGTTCCTAGGCAGCTATGGCACGGAAGCAATCAGAAGATCTTCCGAGTCCAGGGACACCATCCTGTTGGCACAGCGTGAGCCCAGAGCGCGTTAAGGCCAGCACCGCTTCCGCCCTAATTTTACGTGAGAGTCCTGCAGTCTCAGACCAGCCACCCAGTCTGTGGGTTTCTGGAGTGAAGTGATTGCATAATGCCGGTGGATTTATGACCTACAAGGGGGCAGGCTGCGTGTCCTGGGGCCAGGGAGGCCTCTGCCAGCCCTCCCCAGTCATAGCGGGCTAACTGGGTTTGCACATTTGCCCCACGCTGGCTTCCCCATGTCATTAGGTGTGCTTTCGCATGCTTTAGTCATCGTGTTTCCGCTCTTCTCTGTAGCTCAGCGTGGTCACACAGGGTCCTCCAGGAATGACGGGCGAGTGTGGAGTCTGGGAGAGTATTTGCTTCTTTGGTAGCTTGTCGTCAGTTTGCCCGGGCTCTGTTTTCCGGGGTGGCATTTTTTTCTGTTTCCAACTCCGCTTTAGCAAAACAAGAACTGAGGAGCTGGGGAAGGGGAGCTGGTGGCGGCTGGAGGTGCTGAATACACACACACACACATACACACACACATGCACACACACACACACACATGCAAACACACACCACCGAGTGGTCTGCCCGTCACCCCAACACACCGCGCTCTGTGGGTGCAGAGCCGCTCTCTGTGGGACACTCTTCCTCGACTCCCCCCACGTGGCCTTGCTGCGGGGCCTGGCGCATCCTGCTTGTTTTCTCTTTCCAGACAGGTAGCAGCGCTGTGGCCTCTCACCTCATCCGCTGAGGCTTCGAGGACAGCAGGGCCCGGGAGCCAGGAGAGGAGTGTCAGCCTGTCAAGTTGCTCCCTCGCCCTCCGTGCTGGTTTGCAATAAACCTGTATTTAAGCAGCTCTGGGTCCGTGTGTGGCATTTTCACTGGAGACAGCCCGTGTGTCTGGTTCGTGCCCCAAGTTTTCCGCTGTGTGCCGCCTGGGTGCCTGTGTGCAGCAGCCACGCAGTGAGAGCCCCCGGCAGCTGTTGCCATCCACCTAAATTCCCCTGGCCCTCATCTGGACTTGAAACGTTGCCCGGCTTCTTCCAGAAATCGAATAAGCTTCTGGTCAGGGAAACAAAAAAGTCCTGGAGCTATGGATCCATTTCAAATAGGTTTTGGAATTCTACCCTGTCAGCTGACTCCCCCAATCCAATGGGCATGCTGACTTCCGTGACTGGGCTGGGCGCCAGCGCTCGTTGAATCTCAGTGTGCCTGCTGCTCCCTGCCGCTAACAGTGGAGCGGCCTCCTCTGCCCTCTGCACGCTCCCCACGCCTCCACAGGGACGCCACTGTTTCATAGGGGTTTGGCCCAGTTTCCTCTGGCGCCCCCTCTCGAAAGGGACACTCAATTCCCAGGCCTTCTAATGTTAACAGTTTTATTTGCATATAATTCAGAGCTCATACAGTCCAATAGTTTAAACATAATAGAGTTATGCAATCATTACCACAGTCAATTTTAGAAGATTGTCTTCTTCCTTGTACTCATTTCTCCCCTGCTATAACTCCAAGCAACTATTAATCCAGTTACTGCCTCTCTAGATTTACCTGTTCTGCATTTCAGCTAAAGCCAAAAATCCCCCAAAGCAACAAAGTAAAGCAAAAATAAAAAGCAAAAAAAAAAGTTTTTTTAAAATAACAAAACAGAAAAGCCTCAATTGAAAAGAACAAAAAATAAGAAAAACTAGAACATTTAAAATGGGAGAACAAACGAGAAGGCACTACATTTTAGCTACTACACTCAAGGAGCCCGGTGGAGTCGTAGGTTGCTCGAATCCACCAGGCACTCTGCTCCCAGTCCCTGTCTGGAAAACCCACGGGGAGGCCTGTGCGCCCGATGGGTCACCCGGAGTCCGAACCAGCGTGGTGGCACTGAGCTTCGTTTTTTGAGTACATCGTCCTTAGCGCACTTTCTAACTCGCTGTGATAGCCAGGCGATTGCCACCCCTGGTCAGTGGTCAGAGGGGAGTCACTAGAGGCTTAATCCAAGAGGGGAGCCTGCACCTCGACTGTGGGCCTCCCCATCACTCTTCGTGAGTCCCAGGCCAGTCCTGAACTCCTCATGCCCCCTCCTCGCTCCTCTCGGTACCAGTCTTGTTCTGTTTCCAAAGTGGGCCCCAGTTTGTCCTGCCAGCCTCTCCTGAGCAGGCCTCCGAGTGGCAGATCTGTGGCAGATGTTTTATTCCTTGTGTGCAGGAGGAATGATTAGAAGGCTAAAGGATGGGGTTACCAGTGGACCAGACGTAATCTCCCAGAAAAGAGGGGCATCTTTGAATAGTTTACCCCTAGCTCTGAGTCAAAATCCACTCGAGGTTTTTTTTTTTTGTTTTTTTAATGAGTGCGGGAGGGGTGAAAAATCAAGCATTTTGGGTGGAAATGAGTCCAAGAGGCGTCAGCTGCTGTGTAAAGAACTCACTGCCTGGAACACTCAGCTTGGGAGAACAGAGCCACCCCCACTCAGCCCTGTTCCCCTGCTGGTGGCTGGCAACGATCACGGCGAGGCCGTGGACGGCGAGCATCTGGCACCCTGGGACCGAGGCTGGCATCTCTCCCGCAGTGGGGTCCACTTCCAGGAGTGCAAGGAGAGCAGGTGAAAGGCGGAGACTGAGGGCGCCAGGGGAGCTGTTCCGCGCCCCCGCCCCCCTCCCGAGCATGTGAAGAGCAAAAGGAGTTCTGCGTTCACAGGGCCCCTGCCTGTCCGCCTGGAGCCATGGTCTGCTACGTAGACAGGGACACCTTGCGGTAGCAAACACACTTGGGTTTGGGAGTTGGCTAGCCTGACTCCTTAGCTAGGCCTGACCTGGTCTGATCACAGCCCTCGCTGCACCATTTGCCTATCTCTCTGAGTGGGAGGACAGGCTAGAGCCAGTCTACAGTGTCACTCGGTGCCAGACCTATCCCTATAGCAGTGGGGCTCTTGCCCACCTTTAGAGAATCTGCCAGGCTCTAGGTAAGGTCAGCAAAGCTGCAGACCTGGGACAGTACGAACTTGGGTAGTGGTCTTGCTGGCCCCAGTGCCAGCCCCTGCCCCAGCCCCATCTGGTGGCAGTTGCTATCCTGTGGAAGGACTGCTCTAAGGAAGCACTGGCAGCAAATGTCCGTCAGCCTGAGAAGTAAGCCCAAGACCCTCCTGCAGAGGCCTTCCCCCCACCCTCAATCCTGACCCTTCTTCCTGCGAACAGTCTCTGCCCAAGCAGGGAGTTCTCCACTTTTTAAAGACTGGCGCTGGGTGGGAGGGACCATAAAGACATTTCGGTCCCACCCTCTCAGTTTACCATGACCACAGCGGTGGCTTTCCAGCATCACATGGCTTGTCACAGGGGGACAGGGACTTAGAAACCAGACTCCTCCTGAAGGACGCTGATTCTCCCCGGCTCAGGCTCTTTCAGTGAGGGGCCCTGCGCTCGCTGTCAGTCTGTCTGCATCACTTCTTCCCACAGCCCCTCTTTCTTTGAGACCAGCACCGTCTCCCTGCTCAGCTTGTTCACCTCATTCTCACTCTTGTGTCGAGTCGAGGGCCGGCTCTGTCACCATTAAAACATCCTACAAACGAGTGGATAGCTGGGGACAGGTTTCGCTCTGGGCCGGCCTTCTCAGCTTGTCCCTGGTCCCTTCCCTGAAGAGGCTCTGGTCATGGTCGTGCTCGGTGATGGACTGAGTGATTGGATCCGTTATTAGGTGAAGACCCCTAGCACCTCCAGGGGAAAGGCCCACATGGTAGGCTCCGTGCCCTGTCCCGGCATCCCACTTAACACCACAGCGTTTCCCAGCCAGGTCTAGCCTCTGGGCCTCGGGCCAAGACAGCGGGCATCTCCATCATTGGTATTAGAATCCTTGAAGTGGCCTTTAATGACAGCAACACTGAGCCAGGACCTCTTCCCAGAGGAAAGACAACCGCCTTGAATGGAGCCCAGCCCCCGGCTCAGAGGTGGTCATGTGGCGAGGATCCGGAAGCAAGTGGCCCCACAGACTGGTTCCAGGGTCCCCTCCAGAGTGGCGGGAACCCCTTTGCCCAGGTGCCTCCAGGGGGAAGGAGCTAGCCACCTGTCCATAAGGCTGAGCATCAAAAGATGGGTGGGATCAGGGGCTGGAAGGAAAGAGGGAGCTGTGGGAAGTTAGTTGTTCCTGCTTGTGGGTTTCATATTCATGGTCTGTGCTAGCCTGGCTTTGGTGCTCTGACCACAAGACCCATCTCCTGGGGCTACCATTCAGCTTGGACGCGGGGAAAAGCTTTCTCAGCTCAAGAAAGGCGATGAAGCGAAAGCGTGATGGTAGATGGCAATTCCCCTTTCAGAGTGTGTCTCACTGAACACACTCCATAATCAGCGCTCCTACCCCACCCCACCCCTTAAAGAAGAGGGCAGGAGGCCCTGTGTGACCACCTGGGTCTCCTGGATCCCCAAGGACAGCTTTCGAAACTGGTGTTCTGCAACGAGGCCCAGACACCAGTCTGAGGGGTCTTGAGGAGGACATCAGGCAAAAGACAGCAGCAGCAGCGCAGGGAAGGCAGGCAGGTGCCAGCTGAAAACTCTTCCCCTCCGTGGCTCCGGATGCACAGGGCTGCATTCCCTTCTCTGCTCCCTAGGCTCCCTCACCAGGGAGTTGGCAGGTGGTGGGCCGGCCCTGGGCTCTGGCATCCTGGGAGGAAGCTTCCTCCAGGATGGGGAAAGCGGCAGAGGTAGCACCTGCTTGCAACAGCGGGTCACCAGGCACTGGGCCTTTTTCCAGGTTCCTCTCATCCCCACTTCCAGCTCAACGAGAAGCTGATTTCACACACTTCTGCTGAAACTAGAGGAGCTGTCCACCCACTGTGGCCACCTCCACATTCCACTGGAGCACAGCTGGTGTCTGCCGAGCCCAGGCAGTGCCCTTTCAGACAGATGTGACTCCCAAGCGGCCCCAGCAGAGGCCAGAGGCGGGCCAGGCCTCCTGGGGCTCACGCAGGAAGGGTCAGCACAAATGACAGTGGGCCCAAGGCCTTCCTCAGACAGAAAGGATCGGTATGCCCCAGAACAAGGTGGGTGGAGGGAACCTAGCTGGCTGGTGGCCCTCAGGACTTGCCTTCCTACTAACAGGAAGTTACAGCTACACTATGGAAACATCACAGGCCTGTGGTTTGTAACCCATTGAACACAGAGCTTCCCGCCCCCGCCCCACCCCCATGCTACAGATGAGATTGAGGCCCAGGGGCAAAGTGCCCCAAGGTCACCCAGCCAGGGTGGCAGACATAGTGAGACCCTTCTGCCAGGTTTGCCCTTGTACTGGGTACTTGTGGAGCCTTGTGGACCACATTCAACTTCCGTCCTCATTCTCAGCTCAGCACCAGGCCTCCCAAGGAAGGTTTTCAGGTACCAGAAAGCCCCATGCAGGCACCTGACTCAAATCCCTGCCCTGGGTGAGCCTGATGTGCTCAAATGAAAAACAGTCGAACTGATGCCACCTCATGACAAACCCATGGGCATCAGAGTAGAATTGTGGTCCAAAGATTAACAATGACTGATCTTTTTCAGAAGTAAACGGCCGAGTCTTTCTCCCACCCTTTCAGTTAGTAACCAAGCACATCAACCATTTGCACTGCCCTGAAGTAAATGAGTAGATAAAATTAAACCAAACCCACCAGCTTTGAGTTGATTCTGACTCGTAGTAACTAAGGCTATACTTCTTTATGGAAGCAGATAGCCTCGTCTTGCTCCCACAGAGTTGCTGGTGGGTCTGAACTGCCGACCTTATGGTTAACAGTCCAACACTTACCTGACAGCACCACCAGGTGCTCCTTCAAATAAATAAAGCGCTCTACTTCTCTGTCAATTTGTCTTTCTGTGCTGGCTTGCGCGTTACTGGGATGCTGGACACTGTG